CACTTTAACCCTGCAGCCTGTTTGCTTATTTCAATCAAATTACACAGAGCTGCTTTGTTTTAAATTTCCGGGCGTGCTAATGAGTTCTTTTGTTGCTGCTTAGCTTGAATAGCTCCTATTCCAAGTCTGTGATTCCCTTGGTAGTTACTTTTGTTGCCAGCAGTGGGAAGGCTGCATGCAAGACATTCCCAGATAGGGTCTCCTACCAGTTTAAACCTTTCAGTTAGACTCCCAGACAGGGGGCCTCTCAGGGTTCCCTCCCCACTCTGAACTCTGGGGTACAGATGTGGGGACCCACATGAAAGACCCCCTAAGCATATATTCCACCAGCTTAGGTTAAAACTTCCCTAAGACACAAATTCCTTTCCTTGTCCTTGGACGGTATTGCTGTCACTTCCAAGTGATTTAAACAAACATTCAGGGAGGGACCAGTTGGAGCCCTATCCCCCCAAGCCCCTTCTCTCCCTTTCCTGGGGAGGCTTGAGAATAATATACCAACCATTAGGTTAACAAAGTGAGCACAGACCAAATCCCTGGTTTTTAGGACACTGAAAATCAATCAGGTTCTTAAAAGAAGAATTTTATTTAAAAAAAAGTAAAAGACTCACACCTGCAAAATCAGGATGGAAGATAACTTTACAGGGTAAATGAAAAGATTTAAACCCCAGAGGATTCCCCTCTGATTCTGCTTCCCAGTTACAAAACAGACAATGCCAGTTATTCCCCGCTAGGGAACCAGAAGTGCTGCATAGGAATCAGCCAGAAATCTACTTTTGCTGGCCTTTGCAGAAGCTTCTAGTCTGTGAAAATACAGGAAGCCACCACCCTGTGACAGTTTCCAATGAAGCAAAGCAGGAAATGGAGAATTTTCTCTGGATCCCTTTCTTAGCCCACATAGTAGTGGGGTGCCTGTTGGCAGTGCAGTCTGGGCTCAGACCAAGCCAGTTTGCAGTAGAACAGCCTGAAGGCCCATCAGTTTCCTTAACATCTAAGCAGGGTGGAAGGAAAATAGCTTGTTTAAAAGTTTTTTTTCTGTTGATGACAAATGGATTTTTGAACAGTGTGAAAAATGTGTTTGAAATGGTTCCAGGAAGGGAAAAAATCATTCTGAGTCATTTGGTTGATGAAGTTGAAAATTCCACACACACAAAAATTAAAACAAATTCATTTCATTCAAAATATGTATAGAAAGTAGATCCCTTTTTTTTCAACCAGCTCTACATTGAAACTCTCATTGAACATTAACATTCAGTTTCTAGGCTTTAGGGCTGTGGAAGAGACCTTCAGAACACAGACCCAGTGCAGTCTGGAGTGAAATAATAATAATGCTATCTATAGGGAGGTGGTGTGGACTAGTGGTTACTTTTAGAGCACTGGACAGGGACTCAGGAGACCTGGGTTCTATTCCCAGCTCTGCTGGGTGACTTGGGTAAGTCACTTCACCTCTCTGTGCCTCCATTTCCCCATCTGTAAAATGGAGACAGTTACGTAAAGTGCTTTGAGATCTACTGATGAAGAGCGTTAGACATTGCGGCTGCTGCTATGTTGCAAATGCTGCCCCAATCCTGTCAGCACTGATGGTCTTAAGTACAGTGGAACTAATTGCTGTGGGTTCCGCTGTCATGCTGTGTGTCAGGTGGGTGGAAGGCAGACATGTATGGTGACCCTATGTCAAGGTAGAGGTGCAGTGAAGTGGCCTGGGGATTCATAGGAGCATAGGAATTGCCAGACCATCTACCCCAGTATCTTGTCTCTGACCACCACCAGCAGCAGATGCTTCAGAGGAAGGTGCAGGAACCCCATAGATTCACCACTGCATGCCCAGGGATCTCATCCTCCATCACAGCCCTGCAGAGGAGCAGCTTTGGCCCAACCCACCACGTGGTGTGTACAGAGATTCCTTTTCCATTCCCTTCTGCTCATTGATCCTATACACAAAGCAGACTTTTGGTCTTGAGAGTGGCATTAAGAGCTCCTGTTCCGGTCACTGCGGGGTTGAGTCTAACCCTAAAGATGTCAGTTTCAGTTATGAACTCTTTCATGTCTCGTCCTTTTATCCTTTTATTTTATCTCTAGCTACTCTGAGATTGTGGGTGGAGTTGGGGATTTTTGGTGGGGCGTGGGTAGGGCTTCACCACTCCCCCTGCCGTAACCTATTCCCAGTCAGACCTCTGAGCACAGCAACTGAAAGAGCTAGCACATGGCCTGGGATAATGGAGCCTGTTTTATTGTGAGGAAAAGATTTGCTTGGGCATCAGAATTATACCCCAAATTTTTCCAAAAGGGCCAAAGGATCCTTAACTGGACAAGCCACTGGAGAGGGGCAGAAGCGACATTGCTGTAACATCTCACTAGAGACGGGTGGAAGGGACTTTCATGTAATGCTTCATTGGAGGTGGATGGAAGGTGCTCAGGTTAATATCCCAGCTGGTCAGTTAATGGTATTTTGTGTCCTTCCTCTCTCTAGCCTAGGTCTGTAACAGGAATTATCAGTTGAGGGATGTCTCAATACAGAAGGTTTTCCCAACCATCAATACTTCTTGCAAATCCAACTCTAAAAGAGGCAGGAGGCTTCGATGGAAAAGCAGGACAGATGTACATGTGTATAAAAACAGACCAATACGCCATAGGCAGGGGTCAGGCAGGCAGAGATGGATTGGTTACATGTAAACAGACAAACTAGATGGGTGAGGAAACTGTGCTCCAGACGCCTGGAAAGAGAGCAAGAGACAGAGTCAGTGTTTGATCTTTCAGGTCAGTTCCCCTGCCCCTGGCATGTTTTCCTTCCTCGCCTGCCACTTTGAGCCGATATCAGCGCTCACCTGAGCTGGTCGTACTCCCAAATGCCCTCTCCCCAAGTCATTAACTAAGCAGTGATTATCCAGAAGCCTTGAGTGCCATGACCTCATCTCAGGCCAGCTCTGGGGGGGCAAAGGCTGAGCATCACAGCTGTTCAACTTCTTTCCCACCCGACCCCGCATCTTAGGAGAGCCTAAGCTTAACATAGCAGGAGGGGTACATGGGGGAAATAAAAGAAGGTTGTTTCTCTGGGGGAAGAGAATGGGAGATAGCATGAGGCAGCTCCTCAATTCCACATGGGCAGGAGGAGGGCTGGAACGGGAAGAGGGTGGAAGGTGACCACAGTTAGCCACACACACATACAGACACCCCGGCCCTGGCATAAGTAGCCGTGAGAGGATTTGTGAAGCCCAGCATAAAGGGAGGCAGAGAGTGTAAGCTAGTCCAGGGAAGAGCTGATATTTGAGGGGGAATGCATCACGGCAGCAGCTACCTCACCTTCCCCACGCTGGCGTTAAGAGCAGGAGGCATGTGGGATGGTGTCGAGCACTGACTCCCACAGCACCATCTGCCATCACCAAACTGATTACGTAGAGGAGGCAGTACATTTTAGGCTAAGACAATACCCTGCCCTCGCAAACAACATCACCTGGGGATGGGTTTGAATCGGACGGTTTCTCTGGCTGAGCTGACCCCTTCTGCCAGAATGGGCAGGGTCATAGACAAACGCTGTGCAGCAGGGCCCCCAAAGGGCAACACCTTTTCATTCAGCTCTCCCCTCTCACCCCAGCTTCCACCACCACGGGGTAATACCATCCCCTTCTCCCCGCTGGCCTGGTGTCCACAAGGAGCCTGCAGGATGATGGTTGGGTCTTTTGAAAGTGCTGTAACGTCTTGGGACATCCCCTCAATGTTCCTGACCAGGATTTTGCAATAGCCAAAGCAGGGCCTGCCTCAAAGAATCCCATGCAGGTTATATGCTGCGCCTGGTCCATGGGAAGGTAGGACTTCGGGAGTTTGGGGTGTGGAGATCTGTAAATCTCAGTGCTGGGATTTAAACTCCCAGTAACCGGAGACACTGTAAGTGTGGCCACTACACCCCAAGTTTCTGTTATACAAGTTAATACAAACCCTGGTGGGGAGCTTTACCAGCTGGGGCCTTATCTCCTGTCACAGGTCCTCCCCCCACTTTGCCATGTACTACCTGCTGTGACCTCACACACAACCACACAGGGAGAGCAGCGACTGAGCTGAGCTAAGAGGATTACAGCACCACTTTGTGATGTTACAATGACAGTCGCCTGAAAGTCGGAGATGAGAGTGGCAGGGAGGGGACCTCTGATCTTTCGTTGCTCGGCTCCAGCCACCGTTATAGACTCAGAGCCTTTAAGGTCAGAAAGGACCATTGTGATCATCTAGTCAGACCCCCTGCACATCGCAGACCACAGAACATCACCCACCCACTCCTGTGATAGACCCCCTAACCTCTGGCTGAGTTACTGGAGTCCTCAAATCATGATTTAAAGACTTCAAGTTACAGCAGATTCACCATTTATACCAGTTTAAACCAGCAAGTGACCCATGCCCCGCGCTGAAGAGGAAGGCGAAAACCCTCCAGAGTCTCTGCCAATCTGACCCTGGAGAAAATTCCTTATGGCGATTTGTTGGACCCTGAGCATGTGGGCAAGACCCACCAGCCAGACACCTGGGAAAGAATTCTCTGAAGTAACTCAGAGCCCTTCCCATCTAGTGTCCAATCCCTGGCCATTGGGGAAATCCTCACAAAATTTCCAGCCACAGCCCCATGGTGATGGTCTCCTGAGAAAGTTTGTCCAGGGAGAGAACGGACGTCCGTGGAAGTCCCTTTCTCTATTCAACCCCAAGGTAACAGGGAAGGATCATGAAGGGTAATCAGTTGACATGCTTAATGTCAGAGATGTTTGTAATGAAACTAATGGAGTCTCTTAAAGGTGAGGTTCAAATTTAGATGGAGGCTCCTAAAGGTGAGGGTCACATGAAGACTGAGGGCCTTAAAGACCAACCACTTTGACTTGGAAGTCCAATGCTTTATCCCCAGGTGTCTCTGAAGTGATGGTGCTGGGTAATTTGTTTTCATCTTTGTGGTTATGTTTATCCCTGATTTTTGTCTTTCTTCCTTTCCCTCTCCCCTCCCCGTTCTCCACCTCTCTTCCTGAGTGCAGCAGGAGCTCCCAGCACGAGCCAACATCTCCACCTCCTCCTCCCCTGTGCTGACCCGAGATGTGCTCCACACCAAGATGGAGGAGATAGAGGAGCAGCTCCTCTCCAAGATACTGTCTCTGGAGAAAGAACGCTCCTCCGTTACCAGCAACAATGACCAGCAGCAACAAGAGGTGGAGAAGGAGCTGAGCGTTCTCCAGAGCCGAGTTTCTGAGTTGGAACAGGGTCAGTACTGGTAGGGGAGAGTCTGATTAAACCATGATATGCTCCTGGCTGATTCAAAAAAATCCTACCCTCCATCTGCCAGCTATGCACATGTGGGTGCCTGACTGTTCTTAATCAGAAGGAAGGGTAGACGCTTTGGGCTAGAAATGAAATACCGTGTCACTCTAATGATTATTTATCAGTGTACAAATAAGTGGAAACACAGCCTGTGGCTAAGGAGATTACAATCTAACCTGGACTCGGGCCAGGTTCAAATATAGGGCACAGAGTCTGAAGGGCCAGACATGGAGCGGTGAGGGTGTTCTTTCAAATCTCTCCTATGCACTGTGTTCACTGGGCTATTGCTGCTGGGCCTGTCTGATTGCACCAGGCCCTTTCAAGGCGGCCTTGTCTATCCCACAAAACAGAACTGCCTGTTAACAGTTGCAGCTGAGTTGGTGCTGTACATGGGGGCAGGATGGTGCCGAGCTGCAAGTGCTGTCAGTGGCCCTTGTCAGCGAGGGTTCTATTCTGTAGGGTTGATTTTAGTGTTGGATTGGTTTAATTCTCAGTGTTTCTATGTGGGTCAGTCCCACTGTTACTCACCTGTAGCCCTGTTTCTTTCCCCCCTCTTCTTTCTTCACTCAAGAGCACCCAGGAGCACCAGACTTTAACCCGCCAGATGCCTACAAGGTGACCATCCCCGTACGGACCAACTACATGTATGCACGCATGAAGAAGAGCCTGCCGGAGCTTTTCTCCTTCACAGTCTGCATGTGGCTGAAGTCCAAGGCCTCCTCAGGGCTGGGCACTCCTTTCTCCTATTCTGCCCCCGGGCAAGCCAATGAGATTGTGCTGATGGAGTGGGGACACAACCCCATGGAGCTGCTCATTAACGACAAGGTCAGGAGGGGTTAGAGCCTCTGAGTTGGGAGCATAGGCGTGTATGCCACCCTTTCCTGTGGGGGGGGGGAGGAGCCTCCCACCCTACTCCCAGTGATGGGGATTACCTCCATGCTTCTCCTTGTCCTGGAGAGGGGAGAGGCGTGTCTACCAGACCATGTTGTTTCTAACTCAGACACCTTATCTACCCACCCCTGCTCTTCCCTTCTCCCTGCTCCCTCCCCCTCCCTTTTCCTACCTTTCCCTTCCTCTCTTATTTGCCTCCTTTCTTTTTCCCCTCTCTCCACCTCCTTCCTCCTGAGGGGATCCTCATCTTTCCAGGCACAGTCCTGAGGATCTATTCCCCCCCCCCCCCAACCTAACATCTCCCATTCCCCTCCGCACTATCCCTGAACATCAGGCTGCTGTGTGTCAGAGCCAGTGGGAGAAGGTCTGTGCAGGATTCCTGACCTGCTGCTGCAAGTGACTGCTGGGAGAGATTGTCCCACAACATCCCAAGGCTGCACTGTGGGTTGTAAGGCAGCCCCATGACATGCCAGGTTTGGTTTTGTTTTTTTTTAAGGTTGCCCAGCTGCCCCTGAATCTGAAGGATGGGACATGGCACCACATCTGCATCGCTTGGACCACCCGGGATGGCGTATGGTGGGCGTATGAGGATGGTGAGCAGCGTGGGTCCAGTGAGAACCTGGCCGCCTGGCATCCCATCAAACCCCACGGGGTGATAATCCTGGGCCAGGAGCAGGTGGGTTGCAGTTGCTGCGTCATCTTGGGAACAATTAACCTGGTGTTCTGGGGAATATGCACAGCCTTTGGGGTATTTGTAAGCCTCAAAAGCAGAAAACTAGTGTCCCCTCTAGCACTCTCCCTGGACTGCAGCTACCACCCTATCTGGAGTTGGTCAGAATAGCTCCTCAGCTGATCAGAGGGACCATTGTTGACTGATGCAGTGTCCACCTCCCACAGCCTCTCCTCAGGGGTGGTGGTGGGGTGAGGACTGAGCATACTGCCTGTGTCAGCCCTACACAGCAAGAGCCTGGGTTCTCTTTGGAATCCCCTCCCTGATTGCTTCCAGGCCAAAGCTCAGTTATAGTCCCCAGATGGTTACAGAGCACCTGGGAGTTTGGGTGGGAGTTCGCTTGGCAATGCTGTATTCAGCCTTCAGCCATTGTCAGCTGGGTGTGTTTACAGTAACAGCGCCCCTACGGATCACACACAGCGCCTGGGAAAGGGGATCCTCCAGAAGAGAAATCGGAGATAGGAATAGTGCAGTGGCCATATTCATTCATTGTATTCGCTCTACCCTTGTCTGTCTCTCTCTCACTTTCTCTCCATGTTTCTCTCTCTTTCATTTGTTCACTCTTGCCGTTTAATCTCCTTTGTTTTTTCTCCATTTCTGTCTGTTTCTTCTTTTCCCCTCTCTATTTCACCTTTTCTCTCCTCTCACTTTTCCTTTCTCTCCCTCTCGCTTTCCCTCCCCCTCATTTCGTTTGTATGTCTCTCATTCACTGTCTCTCCCTCTCACTTTCTACCTTTTCCCTGTTAATGGGCTGATACCCCCCACCCTCAATGTGCTGGTGCAGGATACGCTGGGCGGGCGATTTGACGCGACCCAGGCCTTTGTCGGCGAGATAGCTCAGTTCAACATATGGGACCATATCCTGACACCCACCGAGATCCTGGGCCTGGCCAACTGCACCTCCCACCTGCAAGGCAACGTGATCCAGTGGGACGACGAACTAGTGGAGGTCCTTGGGGGCGCCACCAAGTGGAGCTTCGAGATGTGTGAGGAGAGGATGAAGGCCTGAGAAGTCCCCCCACCCCCACCCATGGAAAGAAGCATGACAGCGACTTCCCCTGCCTCCACACCACCTAAGGAACGAGGCGTCAGGGATCCCCTTTTTCCCAAATAGAAACATCTTGAGTTCTGAATCCACGCGGGGAGGGAGGTGGGAGGGGCAAGAAAACCATCTGAACTCAAAGAAATTTGACGCTGTTTGTTTTATTGTGCCAGTTAAGGCCTATTTGACTCATAACAAGTAAGTGGCAAGGTCCTCCACCAACCATCCATACAATGGCACCACCAGGGGGCTGCTCTGGTGTGGGGATGGGGGAGCCATAGGTACACTGGGAACTCCCGAGCCAACATTTCTCCTCTCTGCACATCCTGTTGCTAGCATCGCCAGTCTGGCGTGGGTACTGGGTGGAACTGCAAAGGCCGTAGAGCCTAGCTGGAGGTCACTGGTCCTGGGGAAGCCATTGGCTGACTGGGAACACCCAAGCTAATATTTCTCTGATCACTCCATATTCCACTGGGAGTGTCACAGTGATAAACCCTCCTCCAGATATTAGCTCCATGGTCTTGCCAGCTGGGATTCCCCTTGGATTCCCCCCGTCTCCTATAGCTACTAACACCTGAGTTCCACAGAGGACTTAACAGGTTTTGTTCATTTCCTCTTGCCACAAATGGGCCAAACTCATCCTGGGTAGAATTTAATGCTTTAAGGCTGAGTTTCTCACAGCTGCCTAGGGGCATTTGGATGTTCAAATCCAGTGGTTCTCAAACTTTTGTACTGGTGACCCCTTTCACACAGCAAGCCTCTGAGTGCGACACCCCCACCCCTTATAAATTAAAAACACTTTTTTATATATTTAACACCATTATAAATGCTGGAGGCAAAGCGGGGATTAGGGTGGAGGTTGACAGCTTGCAACCCCCCAAGTAATAACCTCGCGACCCCCTGAGGGGTCCCGACCCCCAGTTTGAGAACCCCTGCTCAAACCCCATTTAGTTTGAGCTTCAACATCCTGTAGGCAGATTTGAGAAACTGAGACTTAATATTCACTACATGAAAAAGTCTTGTAGCCTCTGAATGATGGGGGACAAGACCAAGCCCCTGATCGATTCTCAAAAGCTGTCCCATTTCTGTTTCCTTTCTTAAAATAGGATTGTTCATTCCCTCCACAGCTCCCGCATCCCCTTTAAATCCCCTGAAAGGGAGACTGTCAACGCAAAACTCACAGGGCCAGATTCATTCCACTGTCCCAGGCCCTGGTGGAGAGCTCACAGTGGGAGGAAGTCAGCCTGAAATAGGGGGGGAGGGTGATGCAAGGAACTCCCTGCCTGGGATCAGTCCAGTCTCAGAAGTGAATGGTGCTGGGTAGGGGAAGGGTGAAAGCAGAACTGGGTAACAGCTGGTGCAGCCTCAGTGTGCTGGAGCTGCGGGCAGACTGTGTGGACCCCACCCCCTCCCCGCTGTGGAGCACGCAGTGGGGGCACTAATTGCCTTCTCCTGGAGGTGCGCTCTCCCCTCAGCCTGGTACAATTTGCAACTGCCTGCAGAAGCAGGGGGCAAATCTGTGCCACAGACTTAAAACAAAAGCCCTGACTGTGTTACGCCTGCTAGCCCCTCCTAGTACTGAAGCCAACAGAGTTAGAACATGCGAAGAGTACCCCAGAAAGTTTTGCTAGTTTAACTGTACCAGTATAGTTAAAGTAGCAAACATAACAAACTAACCCCAACTATAGTGTGGATGCAGTTATACTGGTATCAAAATACTTATACTGGTATGGCTTATTCTGGTTCAGGAAGCAGAATAAGCTTTGCTTGTATAAGGCACTTTATACTGGTAGAAGTGTAACTACTTCGGTTAAAAAAAATCATACACATCCTCATCCAACATTGTTATCCTGTAAAACTTTTAAATGTGGACCAGGCCTTTGACTGGGATTTGCAAAGGAGCCTAAGGGAGCAGGCACTCAGCTCTCATTGAAATTCAGTGGGATTTGGGCACATAACTCCTTTAGGCTCGTCTGCAAATCCCAGCCTGATTGCCTTATTCTCACTGATGCAATTTGTTTGCTTTTTGCATGTCACTGAGCTGGCACCATGAAACAAGCCTAGTCAGTTTCACTTTCTGCTTTAGTTAGTTTCACTTCCTAATTCCCATACCCTAGCCTGATGCTCTTGTGTTGGGTTTCCAATAGGCTGATCCTCCTTGAAAAGCATTGTTTTTCCCCCCAATGCCCTGACATTTGTAATAGTAGATTTTGTTAGGCCATGCTTTTACCACACTTAAATGCTGGGCCTAAAGGTACTTGACAGCATTGCCTTCAACCTATTACTGTCCCTACCCATCAACCCCTCCAATCCCAGTGAATCAAATATATCTTCCATCCTCTTGGAAAGCAGGTAGTTACAGCCAATAGGATGGGTGGCAAAGCTAATGCCAACTTTACTGATACTTTTTTTATGTATAGCTATATTTATATAATATGACTCAAACTCCATCTCATCAGCAAACCCTTTTTATTGCTAAGAATACAGTAAATGCAAACACACACACACACACATTTATACTATATAGGGAGTGGTGATAGCCACATGAAAGATGCATTTATCAGGCACTGTTAGCTTCCTTCCCTGCACTCTGCCCAAGAAGCCATCTCCATTAGAAATACTTCTAACATTCCAAACCTCTGAAGTGATTTAAACAGCTGCCTTTAAAAACCAGCCAACCTGCCAAGAAATGTTCCCTAATTCTTCCTGCTCTAGAGGTGGAATGTTCCCCTCACCAAAATTACAAAGCTGGAGGCTCGGGATGCCCACCCACGGACAAGGTCCAATATCTTGGGACACACCAAAGTTAAAATCAGATGCTTTTACCACTGACAAGGAGTTTTTGTTTCCAGGGCCGGCTCTAGACACCAGCAAAACAAGCTGGTGCTTGGGGCGGCACATTTTTAGGGGCGGCATGGCCGGCGCCAGAATGCCGCCCCTAAAAATGTGCCGCAGCCGCCCTAGCTCACCTCCGCTGCTGCTGCCTGGGAGGGAGGGGGAGATCCCG